TCGTCTTTCTTCTCTCTCTCTCTCTCTCTCTCTCTCTCTCTCTCTCTCTCTCCCCCCGGCTAAGTAGATTCGATTTTATTCACGCTCGTACAACGTATTGTACAATTTTATCACTCACGACGAGGGACCTGGATATTACAGTATAATGACAAGGAGCAATTTTGCGTTTGACGGTCGTAAACCGTGTTTGATTATCGTAATTACGTAGGTAGTATTGGGTGTCTTAGAATTATTGCTATGAACTCGAGTGGTCGTTACAATTTACGATAGAAATTTGCCTAGAGTTTACGGCTCGATCTTTCTCTTCTACATTGCGTAATCCAATTCTTTACTTTATAAATTATCAGACAAAAAAAAAAAAAAACAAACATTAAATCAAATTAATTTCAATTTTAAACTAGTTTCGTGGTATTCGATTATCAATATAGCTTAATAAGATTTCGAATCGAAGATTTCCAAGATTCTCTTGTCTTAATTTCAAACTTTTGAACTTTTATATATTTAGATAAGGATAAGAAATCGTAGATAGACGCGAACGATCGATGATTATAGTTAATTATAGTCGAGCGTTGGAAACTTTCAAACACATTTAAAAATAGTAATGACTGTGTATGAATAAGTTGTTAATCCAAGATTAACTTGGATCCATCGCTTCACTGGAAATATTAAAACGTATACGCGTATTTTTAAATTCGAAAACCATTCTTCTTCTGTTAAAAAATTCACGGACACGGTCGATCACGGTTAAACAAAAAAAAAACTGATCTGAGCGCAAAGTGCATGGAGAAAAATAACTTTAATTACGCGAGGCACAGTCGGCAGCAGCGCGCCCACACCCAAACGATGACACCGGGCGGCGTTCCATTTCGTCCGACCGCGCTTCATGCATCACCATGCAAAACGGATCGATCGGTCGACTGATGTCATACAGGCGTTTACTTTTTATTTCCTGTCCGCAATAACAAACACATCGGATCGGCCATGAATGGCCAACCATCTCTCCACGCCCCGCGTGACGCATCGGTCCGCGACCATTTGGTCCCACACGATTCGTCACACGAATCACGACTTATTTCGTCTCGAATCGAGTTATGACGCCGCCCGTAATTATTCCGTCCACTACTACGTCAACGGTATATCGATATCGCGTTGCGTTTAATGTAGGTCACGATCTGGTGTGAAACGAATATATTGCTCGTCACGCATTGAAAATGGATGGATTCGATTTCATTTCTTGCCCCAATTCGAGCCAAGTTTGTTTCTTACTTAACGCGCGCTAATGCATCGCGATCACCATTTCCAATCTGTATTTTCGCGCAATCTGATATTGAAAGATATTTCCTCTTTTGACGGAATGTTCATGGAAAATTTACGGAATGTATGCGCTTTATCGATCGATCAAAGTGCGTTTTGAGCGGGAAAGGGTTAACCATTAGTCGGATAAAATTAATAATCTTATTTGTTGCCTCGCGCGTTCGGACTTTCTGAAATCTCGCACTCGATCGTAAAGTATCGAGAGTTACGAGACGTGTACGAGACTCGTTTAAACAGCGGATTAAGACGTTTCGAGATTTAACGCGGCAAGACAAACAGAGGGATATAAAAATGTTCGAAGATCGAATACGCTACGAAGGTTGTCGAATTGTATTATTAATTTATTAATAATCCTTTTTTTATTATTATTATTATTATTATTACAAACGTGCAATTGGACCGCAACGTTCGATGTACTTAAGTAATTTACGATCGATAATTTCGATACGAGGA